CCTATACTCTTACAAATGGGGGGGGGTGCAAGCTTTCAGAAGCCTAAAAGCCCATCTATCAGAGGCAGACACAAGGGGCAATGAGAAACAAAAAGATACAATTAATTGCTGATGGGGTGGCCCCAGCAGCAGCAGACATCTGCTGGGCATGGTATGTGAAAAGCTCCGGGACCGATGAGGGGAAAAGAGGGTCTAAAAGCTTAAACACACACACACACACACACACACACACACACACACACATTTTAGGCCAAATGAAGCATGAAAAATAACTTAAAATGAAGACTTACAAAAGCATTAGCAGTTCTTTCCTTTGTAGGGACTCTGTAAAGTTTGAACTGCAGAGAATATGATTTGGATGCTACTCTCCTCTTTCCTAAGACTGTTTTCCAGACAAGCCCAGCTGTTCTGGGGAGGAACCCATGGAAGCGTGAGGGTCGCCTTCACTCCCGGCCTCCTCTTCAACCCCAGGCTAAAGGCATCCACCCAAACCAGGATGCCTTGCCCAACTGGCTCTCTGGGATCCCCTCAGCCGGCCTGACCCCTTTCACTGGTCAGGGCTCTGACAAAGTCTCCACTTCCCCTGTAAGTCCAGGAAAATAATTTAAAGTCAAACTCTGATTTTAAATGTTTAGAATGTGGCTTCTCCCCACTTCTCTGGCCTGGGGAAGTCCTGTCTCCTAAAGCAATGGCTCTCATCATTGAGAGAGCATCAGAGGGATTTGTTAAAATGCCAATTCCTGAACCCCCATCGCACTCCTATTCTGGACGCATTAGCCTTGAATCTGCATTTTAACAAGCTCCCAAGGCAATCCTGATACTGGAAGCCCCTAGACTTTGAGAAATTGTGTTCAGCGGGAAAGGGGAAAGGGTCCACAGCCGGTACTTACTTGCCGGTCTCATTCACCCAGCTGTATCCCCTTGTTAATACAACTAGCACAATGCCCCAGGCACTGCAGGGGCTGGGGGGGGGGGGGAGATCAGTGGGATGGATGGGGGAGGGGAGAGAAGGGAGGGCTGTTCAAGAGAGATGGACCCTGGCCAAGAGGATTCCCAATTAACATGGCAAAACAGGCTGCAGGAAAGCATCGCAGTTCTTATAAAAATGTCTCTCTGAAAAATGTGTCAACCAGGGCTGAGTCATTTTTTAACCAAGAATTCTATAAGAGACACAAGAGCATGTATAACATGGAAGACATGGCCACAAGACAGGCAGACCAGATGCAGGCTAGGGAGCCATGAGCTGCAAGTGAATGAAAACGCATCCAATTCAGAATCAAATAAACATGCCTGGGCCCACAGCCAAGGAGAGTTCTTGGATTGGACTTTTATCAGGACCTAAATTTTAACCAGCTGGAACTTCTTCTTTTCCAAGTACCACCCTATTCCTTCCTACCTTTTGAGATGAAGTATTTGCCTTAAATGGGAAACTTGCACTTCATTGTAAAGACGATGCCAGCATTCTGGCTTCCTGAATTCCTGGAGAAGCAGGCTTTTTGCAGGGTAGACATTTGTTTCATAGATAAAAGACTAAAGAAGATGTACCCCATTTAGATAGGAAGGCATTTTTGTTCCCTCTGCAGGAAACTGCCACTAAATAAAAACCTGTGGGAGCCGATGCCTAATTCTTTGTTCCATCGCTGTTTTTCAAACAACTAGCAAGGCAAGAGGGGAAAAAAAAAAAAACAAAAAACCTCAGCACAACTGATTGATATAAAGTTACCCAACATAAAACCATTCCACCATCAAGAAGCAAAAGTTAAGACCCAGTGTGAGGACCGGTTTTAGAAATTGCTGCCGCTAAAAAAAAAAAAAAAGAAAAGAAAGAAAGAAATTGTTACTGCTTTGGGAAAATTGTATTTATTACTCCAAGAGCAACTTTACCTGGCAAGGGCCCTAAGAGATTTTTTTTTAAGTAGTTGAGGAAGTGTGCCCACAACTCATTTCTAAAACACTGAGCTGTGTTCAAGATGGTATCAGTCCCTTAATTGCCCCACTAATAATAGGAAGGTTGTGAAATCTGACCACTTAAACCAGGCCAGCTCCTAAGAGAGCCTCCCCAAAGGGTGTGTTAGAAATGCTGCTGAAGGTTAGCTGGCTGGCTGCAGTCACCTTGCGAGTCCTGGGAAAATACACACTGCTGCAAGGGCAAGGGTTTCTGGAACAAATGCTCCCTGGAGATCAAGGAGGTCATTGCCTCAGTTCCTCTGCAGCACCCAGATCCTGCACCCTGTTGTCCTCCTGTCAGGTTCCATATGACCTTAGACCCACAGGAAGCTGTCTCCTGTTTGATTCACACATATTGACCCTTCTTTTTATGCCTGCATGGCCCCAACTAGACTGTAAGCAACCTTAGGACACAGACCAACATCTATGAGCTGAATACCCATCATCTGGTAGGGGACTCTGACATGAATCATATGCCCAAATCATTGTACACCAGTGTTCACTGGCCAGTCCTCTGACAGAACTTTTGGAAGAACATATGTAGGGAGATGGGAGCAGGGAAGGCTTCCTGCAAGAAGTGCTGCTGGAGCAGAGAAGGGAGGCTGAGGTATAAAGAGAAGGAATGAAGACAGAACAGCATGTGCAAAAGCCTGCTGTGTAGAGGACACTGGAACTCAGTGATCTCATCTCTCCACACACTTCCTAAAAATCATCACTTAATACAGGATTTAGCAGGAAGGCTGCAGGGTCTAATTGGGCTCAGCCAAGAATTACAGGGTTCCAGGCTCAGAGGCCACCAAGACGAGGTTAAGTGCCTGGCTAAAGAAACCTGTCCTAGACACAGATGTGAACAAATACTGACAATGTAGTCTGGTGAGAACTAAGTGCAAGGACCTGGTTGAGAAGGCAAAGAGAATGACATTCAGGGAGGGCTTCCCGGAAGGTGGTATCACCCAAGCTGAGGCTTAGGACAAGCAGAAGGTGCTCAGGGGGAGGAAAAGGCATCCTAGGAGCAGAGAAAACATGCCTCAACAGCACAAAGGGCCCAAAAGTTAGGGAGCAGGCTGGAAAGGTGGGTATGCAAGGCAGATGGGCAGGAGGGGTTGAAGAGTGCTGGTGGCTCCATCATATGCACCAAAAGGCAAGTCCAGGAAATAAGGAGTCATGTTTTGGGTTGAGAAGAATGTGGAATCTGGGAGGGGGCTTCCATACTCATTCAAGAAGGGATGAAAATGACCCAAGGAGAGAATTAGTGGGACCAAAGAAAAAGCTGTTTAGAACGTCACCCCCAATTAGGAGTTGTGGTGGGAGAAAGGTCAGCCTGAGTGTGAGGCTCCTGGGGCAGAGGCCACCATTAATTTGGGGCAGGGGTGCAGTTAGAGGAAATGAACACATTCCCACAGGCATAGAGAACAAAACCACCACCTTGGCTCCTTTGGGTCACTATTATACCCAAACCATTAAAACTTCACAAGCTTTGTACACAGATGCATGAAGCCACCTAGACAACTGCAGAAAAATAGCAATTTGGTCAGATGAAAACTCAGAATGAAGTGCATGTAATGCTCTCAGTTACTCAAAAGCTGAAATATCCATTTAGATCCAAAAAGTTTAGCAGGATTAGTAAATCAATATGAGATAGCCTTAAGGAAAACTTCTTGATCTAAAAATTGGGGAAAACTTGCTATCTTAAAAATTAATAGTTATTTTTACTAAATAAGACAAAGTAAGAAAATATGATGTTTTACTCAAACAGGAAGGTTATATGCACTATGGGGTTGGTGGGAGGGTGTGTTATGGCTATCAAGTTTGAAGACATCCCAACTGCCTGACTCATACCTGGTCTTCTGCACTGTGCTTCTCTGAATGTGGGACAAGGTAGCGGGAAGCACTAGCCTGAGACTCTAAGAAAGTACTAGGTCCTAGGCCTTGACTGCACTGAGGCCATGCAGAACATCCCAGGTGTGTCAGAGTTGTTCTAAGTAAATGACCCATCTCTCAGCGCAACAGTACTGGGATAATTAGGAAGTCCCCTTTAATTCCCATTTTCCAGGTGAAGAAACCAGAGCCCAGAAGAGCCAAGGTCATGTCCGTGGCTGCCTGAGTGCAAAGCCCACATCCTCTCCACAAGTCTAAGGAGCTTGAGTAGCCTGACGCCTGGCTGCCCTGACTTGGGTAGGAGATGTGAGGCAGACAGATGTAGTGCGGGTTCCAAGCCCAGGAACCCTGGTGGGGACCGGTGACAGCAGCATCCCCGCGCACATCGCTCCCTGCCCAACTCCCCACCATCCGGACAGCGTCGAAGTGCTCCGTTACAGCAAGAAAACTACATCTGTGCACCTCTCCTGTCTCCTCTGGGGCACCTGACCGAGGCGACAAACTCATGCCTTCCTTTGGCCTAGAAAAATATCCGCAAGTCAAGCTGGGGCCGGGGAGAGGGGGTGTAGGTCATCCGTGAGACCATTCCCTAGACGAAGGGCTGAACGGGGAGCAAAGTTTTCCAGCAAGGCAGGAGTCGGAGGTGGGGTGAAAGTGGGGTAAGACGGCCCAGCCTAGAAGGAACAATGCGGCCACGAGAGGGGGCGCATCCCTCCCCAGCGCTCCAGGTCCCCGCTCTGGCAGTCCCGGGCCTCTACAGAGTTCTGGACCCCAGGTCGGGGAAGAACCCGCCCCCCCCCCACTCCTGCTGCAAAGCGCCCCCAGGCCCGACAGTTCCGAGCATCCCAGCCCCGGGGTGAAGGAGGTACGCGTCCGGGAACAAAGGGTGGGGCGCCCTTCTCCCGCCCGCCTTCTGGGAGCCAGACCCCGGCCAGGGGCCGCGCCTCATTAACAACACAAAGCCGGGGGTCGGGCGGCCCCTTTCATCCAGGCGGGGGCTGTCGGACGCGCGCCCCGGGAGGGAAGGAGGGAAGAAGGGCGAGGGGAGCGGGGATCCCAGCCCCGCCGCTGACTCGGCGCAGGGCAGGCAAGTCGGCACCGGCTCGGGTGCCCGCGAGCACCTGTGCGCACCGCGCCCGCCACGCTTTGGGGAATGGCGAGAAGTTTCTCCTTACCCTCCAGCCGCAGGTGTCGGCGCCCCGCGCTCTGCTGGAGCCGCCCGCGGCCACGGCCAGCTGCGAACCGTTGAGGCAGGCGTTGACCGTGAAGAAGACGGAGCAGAGCTGCAGCCACGGGGCCATGGCCGTGCGCTCGCCCAGCCCTACCCTGACTCCGCACCCCGGCTGCCTGCCTCTGGCCAGCCCCAAGTGGGCGGTGGCGCCCGCGGCCGCCGCGGAGCTGGCCGCACCACGGAGCATGCGCCGCCGGCCCGCGCCCTGCCCCTTCTCCCCGGGCCCCGCCCCCAACCCGACTCCAGCGGCCTGGCCCCGCCCCGCCCAGCAGTCCGCTCCCACCCCCAGGGCCGCACCCCGAGTTTCCCCTGAGAGGCCAGCAGCTGCGATTTTTGCCCCCCCCTCACCTGACATTTATCCAAGTGATGCCTGCTGCCAGCAAAAACTCGGGAAAACACAAAGAATATAATAATAATGGTTCTAATAATATTTTAATCAACATCTACTGTTGGCCAGGCCTCTTCTTGAATCCTCCCAATCGCACAGGGAGGATGACCCTAACAGAAAAGTTAGGGTAATGTAGTGGTTAGTAAAATCCTCGCTGAGACCTCAAACAAATGACTTGCCCTCTCCACATTACTGTTCCTGCTCCCTGTAAACTGGAATAACTAACAAACGTATGCTAGTTTGGGAAGGATTCTACTAGTTAGCACGTAGCAAGTGCTCAATAAATGGTACATTTTTATCATTAACCAACTTGCATAAGGTCACCCAGCTGGTACCTACTGAAATTCAAATCCAGATCTGACAAAAACAATACTCTTAACCACTAACACTTGTCAACCTTACCATTGTGAAATGGGTAGGAAGCTGGGGCTCAGAAAGTGGAGTAGCCAAGGTCATATGACTTTACCACAAGCCCCTTCCCACTTTGACTTGTATCTGTGCACCTGGTCCCACCACTTCACTGTCCTTGGCCCCACTCCTCATCTGTGCTACCACCTCCTCCCCCACAGCAGCTGTATTTCCTCCTTCCTCTTTTGTCCTAATATATGATGCATTTCTCCACTTGAATCAAGAGTGATCTCCAGAAAGGTAAATCAAGTCGCTGACTTCTGATTAAAAATCCTCTGCGGTGGCATTTATTCAATGGCCACTTATAATCAAATCTATCCTGGCCTCCCCTCCTCCCACATTATCTCTTCCCACTCTGCCTCCACTACCTGGCTCCAGCTGTGTGAAACTGCCCACTCAACTGCATTTTGGTCTTCTTGTTTCCAACCTTGGAGATTCTCATCTCTGTCTGTCCAACAAGATGTCCTCTACGTGACTATCTCCTTCTAGGGTCCAGAATCCCCTCCTTCTCCTTGCTGGTCAGGCCTAAGTGTGGTAACAGTTCAGGGGCTGCTAACACTGGGTTCTTATACTTTCCCTCATGACTCCACACACCCTGCCCTTACCTTGTTCTTAAACTCTCTGAGGAGGTGAGATGGACCCAGTTTTGCCTGCTGCTCCCATGGGGAATGAAGACTTCTCAGTAAAGCTAGCAGAAGTCCTGGGAACTGGTTCTGATGAGACCACTTTGGAACCAGGAGCAGAGCCAGCTTCACTTGAATCTCAGAGGTTGGAGGTGGAAAACAATGGTTGTCCAAAGAAAAATGCAATGTTCCAGAGAAAGTGAGTATCGTTCCTGGGTTCACCAAACAACAGTGTCTACTACAAGACCCAGGTGCTGAGATGTCCTGTCCTTGTGCACCATGGGACAGAAATGTTTTGTTTTTCATCTTACTGCCAGGATATTCAGGAATTCAGTCAGACACAGTGAGGACAAGCAGCACAACTTCTTTGGTCACCCAGAAGAACCAGGATCCACAGAAAGTTGGAACGGCCCTCTCTGAATAGACCTCTCATGTTGCCCCTCTGGGGGAGCTGTTTGTTCAATGTTTTGCTCCTTTCCAGGCCTCTACCAACCTCCCTGACACTCTTGGTCCTCTTCTCTATGTCATTCCCAACTCCCAGAGCAGGAGATCTGAGGGGTTTGGACATGAATATCAGCGGTGCCAGGGGCTGAGACAAGGCCAGGACCACACGGTGTTGATGAAACACCATGTAAATCATGAGACTGCCTGCCCCTTAAGTTCCTTCATCTACATGACATTTCAGCCTAAATATGCTTTGCAATCTATTAATCAATCATCTGCTGAGGGACTTCTCTCATAATCAGTGATTTAAAAATATCCTCACACATTTATCTTGATGTATCCACTCAGCTATTTTCTTAAGATATATTCCTGGAATCAGAATTGCTGGCTTATACATATTTAAAATTGCCAAACTGCTCAATATCTACTGCAATCTTTAGATAGATAGATAGATAGATAGATAGATAGATAGATAGATTTTTAAGTAGGCTCCACACCCAACAAGGAGGTTGAACTCTCAACCCTGAGATCAAGAGTCACATACTCCACCAACTGAGCCAGCCAGGCACCCCTCTACTGCAATCTTAATTGGCTTTTCTGGTTAATACTGACATGAACGTGGACCATATTCCCGTGTATTCAGTGGCTATTTGCCTTTCTTCTTTGTTCCAGGATTGGACTTAGGAAAAGGAACAGTACTTAGAATATATGACCAAGGGAAAAACTTAAGTAGGACACTGGGGAGAGGAGAGCATTTCTCCTTGGGTTTAACTCACATCACCATATGACTGAGTGATCAGGGAAGACAGAGCAACACTCCTTTTCCCTTTCCAGTTTCCATACCCATCCACAGCTCACTGCCCAACCCGGCAACTGGCAGCCTCTGAAAACATGCTACAGAGTTCAGAGTGCTCCAACTTTTCTAAAGGAGTACACAGGACACAAGAAAGAAAAGGTCTGAAGACTGACATCTTCAGGACCAGAGACTGAGAGACCCATCTATGGCCTTAAGCATATGGTGGTGGTGGTAGTGGTGGTGGGGTTTTATGGGTGGGGGAGAACCATATACATCAGGCCAAATTTGGTCAGGTAATAAATTGGCATTGGCAACATGAATTGACATTTGGCAACATTCCCCCCATTCTATTCTTCTCCATTGATTCTTTGCCTCTCATCCCCTCTTTTTATCCTGGACCCTTCAGAATATTTGTGAGACTATAGGAAGTGAACCTCTGTATTGAGAGCTGAAATAAAATGAGGGGGGTCAGGCCCCCTTCCTCCAGACCACAGCTGAGCCCAGCTGTGTAGGAGACCAGAGGATGAGGCCGTCCTCAAATATAATACATGGGCTCACCTACCACAGCCAACCAAGATTGCCTGTGCCCCAGTCACAATTTCAGCCACCCCTCACCATCCCTGACTGATTTACTTCTCTGCCCCAAGTGCCTGGATCTCTGCCTGGCACACATCAGTGGGCAAGAAACTATTGCTGCCTCCATTCCTGTTTGGAATTAAGCTGGGGATTAAACAGATTAAATCACCTTTAAATAAACTGTTGATGAAATGCAAATAATATTTCCCCAATTTACCTAGAATCTAACCAGATAAGAAAAGCCCCCCCTCTTTTTTAATAAAAGCCCTTAACACAAGGACTCAATTTTGTTAGAAGTCAAATTATCCCCTGACACATAAGAAAGGATAAAGCAATGATGGAAATAATTTGTATCCTGAAATCGTTTTTAGCAGAGAAGAACTGAAGACCATTTTAATAAGCAGTGATTAGAAGCAGTGGGCCAAAATTCTAATTTATTTTTGGTATTCTGCTCAAGTAGTATGCCTTATATACTAATCAAGGCATTAAAGGTAAAGGGTGCCCAGCCCAAGCTCCCAGCAGGCTGAGGGTGCAAGTGTCCCAAAGCTTTCAGGGAGCAGCATGGTCCTGAGAGGCCCATCCTCTATCAGAACATTCTAAGGCTGCCTGGATGCCACTCTGGCCACAGGCAGTCTTGGCTCCCACGAAGTAGATGTTCACTTCACAGTTGAAGGCGAGACTCAGGCCTAGGCTCATCTGACACCCCCCTATCCCCCCCCTTCCGCCCAGCCTGCCAGACGCCCGGAACGGGGGGCAGGGGTTACATCTGGAGAGGATGACTGAACCCCGCGCCCCGGAATCCGCGGACTCGCAACCTAAAGTGCTGAAATTCATGAGTGCCCCCCGACTTCCCTTTTTTTTTTTTTTTTTTTTTTCTCCAGGAGGAAATGAAAACCCGGGCACCCAGGCTCCACGGTAACCGCTAAGGGGCGCGCGTGGTCAAGGGCGGAGATGCTCCAACAACCCCGGACTGCACCGCCCCCAGCGCGCATCATTCTGGGACAAAACCCCCAGCGCAGGTGCAAGTGCTCGCGGCTAACAGGGCCGGTGCTAAGTTTGGGGTAAGTAGAGTTCAGGAGACGGTAAAAAAAGAAAAAAAAAAAAGAAAGAAAGAAAAAAAGAAAAGAACTAGGTTAAATATGGGCTCTAAATAACAAATATGGGCTTTAGCAACCCTGTGGCTTTTTTTTTGTTGTTGTTGTTGTTTTTAAGATTTTATTTATTTATTCAGGAGAGACACAGAGAGAGAGAGAGGCAGAGAGAGAAGCAGGCTCCATGCAGGGAGCCCGACCCGGGATTCGATCCAGGGAGCCCAGGGTCACATCCTGGGCCGAAGACAGGCGCTAAACTGCCCAGCCACCTGGGCTGCCCAACCATGTGGCTTTGAGCAATTCACTTAGGCTCTCTGAATTTTTTTCAGTGGCCACGCAGAAATGATGTGGATGCAGACTTCAGTGGGTTTTTGTGTATCTGAAGGAAGCAAATGGCTAAGAGGGTCCGTGAATGTTACTACTGCAAGCAGTAGACCAGGAGTTGATGCAGCCAGGTCTAGCGGGCAGCTAGAACCCAGACAGTAGCTAGGGGAGATGGGCACCTCTACCTCCTTCAGAAGCTAACATCCTGGTTTGGATCTGCACTAGACTGGAAGGCTAGGGACCATATCTTATGGAGTCCCATGGAGTCCTGTGAACAAGTACCTATAGAGTTCATGAAGCATTATGCCAGAAGCTGGGGACCAGAATGAAGTCAGATACTGTCCACAACAAGACACTATCCCACCTGTCATAGAACCAACAAGCAAACATTCCATGGGGGACACTGGCATTACTCAACTACATGACTGGGAATAATTATAAGTAGATGGAC